CCCCACTTTGACTATAGCTGTGTGGTGTATGATGGCCTCTCTGTGGAGCTCCGTGATAGACTGAAAAGACTAATGAACAGCTGTGTAAGATTTGTGATCGGGGCCCCAAGATACTCCCATGTTTCTCACCACTATGCTGAGTTAAAGTGGCTTTTCCCCTCCTTCCGAAGACAATATTTCCTAGGTACGTTCCTCTACCAAATCATCAACAGCCATCGTCCTTCTTACGCCTACAATCTTCTCCAGTTCAAATCCTCAGTCCATTCCCTGTCCACAAGATCTCGACCTTCTAATCTTTACATGCCTTCTCACAGATCTGCCTCATTCCAAAATTCCTTTGTTGTTCGCTCTGTCAATTTCTGGAATTCCCTCCCTATCAAAATTCGACATTCCCCATCCATATCCAAATTCAAAACCCTCCTATTCCAATTCCTATCCCAAGAACAGTCAGATAGTTGCTAACCATTCGAGCTGATTTTAATAGAGAATTTGATACATACAAATTCATTGATATCATTTTTATTTTTTATTATTTTCTTAAAAGTGTATACTAGTGCAAATAGCTTTAAGTGCCTTGTCATAGTATTAATTGTTTTGTATATAGTTTCGTTTTTTTTATATAGAATGTTTACCTTATATTTTTTTTACATTATTTCTTTTTTTCGATTGATTTTATTTTGGCCAGATGTGATCTTTTAATTTTGTTCTATTTTGTTATTCTCAAGGGACTGTGTCCCAGAATAAAATTATTTTTCTATCTATCTATCTAAATAGGACTTTCATTATTTTAATGGTATTTATGATTTGTTAGTTGTAACTTTTTAGTTTTAACTCAGTTAAAAATGCAATTCAAAAATTTTATAATAGCCAACATGGCCAGAAAATAATTTCTATTCAAATTTGAGTGGTAAGTGAAAGTTGTGCTGCGCACACCAGATTTTTTTAGATGGCTGAGAAATATTTTTTGAAATTTTCATCAATGATTGATCTTATTGGCAAAATAATATTGATTATTATTATTTACTAAATATCTTATCAACATTATTTACTGCTGACTTGTATTATGATTATGTTTACTACATATTTCATGGATATTATAATATATTTAATTACTACGCTTCATATTTACTTCTTTTTTTTACTTTTTTCAGCTCCTTGATACTTTCTTCAGTTTTTTGGCAAGGAAGACTGATTTTTATATTGGTGCTCAAGCCGATGCAGCAAAATCAGTAAGTTTCAAATTCATTGTCATTTTGATTTAGTAATATGGATATTATTAAGACATAAAATTTTACAGCATTGTAAGACAAATTCAGTCCATTCTATCTGGTTTAAGAATGGCTTGAAAAGATGACCACTAAAATAAAAACTTACAAAGTAATATGAACCAGGTATCTTGAAGTTGATTAAACTTAAATTGCTTTTTGATCACCCAGCACATTCATGGCTTTATTCTATTATAAGCAATATAAAAAAAAACTGCAAATTTTGATTTTTTTTTCCTCATAATTTTTAAGGCTCTTTTAGTCTTAGGTGAGTGGAATCTCAACAAATATAAGAAATTTTGATTTAATTGAGTATTTATTGAACCAAATTAAGTTATGTTAATTTATAATTTGATGTTTATTTTCTAATTTAATTTTTCTTCAACCTATATTGCACAAATTTTCTATAATTCGAAAAAAAATATTTTTGTGAACTAGGCATTTATTTTGTCAGTCATTCCAGTTTCTCATTTGGTCTATATCTGCAGCATTATCTTTTTCCTTCTATCAGCAAAGCCATATCTTTTGTCGAGCTTATCAGTTATATTTTTGTTGTAATCCCTTCATAGACATTTCTAGGAAGAAATCTGCCGTTCATTTTGTATCCTAGAAATATCACTTTTTTGTTGTTTGTCTAAAAAAAAATATAACCCCTCAAGATTGGTTGGGTCGTTCTAGAAACGTCTATCAGAACCTTCTAAACCATGTGTTTACGTGTAGGGTTTGTGAAATCATTAATAAGTTAAAATGCAAACTTAGTCGTTATTTTTGTATAACAAATAATCTTCATACTTATTTTCAGCACTGAATTATCAAATGCATGTGGTAGAAAAATGCCAAAGAAAAAATACTTCTTTAATTTTAACGATTACTATTGCGTTTTAACTTGACATGACGCTTGTAGTTGATGTATAGGGAAAACTTGGGATTTTCACACATATTTTTAAAAAATCTCATTTATAGTTATTAAAATATCTAGTCCTGTCATAAATATTGTTACAAGGAAATATATATGAATTTCAACAAAAAATTATTTTTTTCAAAAACTTTATTAGAAAATAAAATGTATATCTATAGAGAGTAAAACAAAAAAGGAATTGCTCCAAATGTCACCTTTTTGGCCTTGACCCAGGCATTTAATCTCCATGGCCAGCCATCAGTAGCAGCACACAGCACTTCTTGAGGAAAGCGCTCAACTGCTCAGACCAGAGATTGTTTGAGGCTTTTCAAGTTGGTTTGTGCTCTGTGGCATGCCATCCTCTCCAGTTCGGACCAAAGCCTATAATCTATTGGGTTGAGATCAGGACTTTCTGAAGGCCAATCTGAGGTAGAGATGAACTCTGGAATGTTCTTTTGCAGCCACTGCTGAGTTGACCAGGCCTTGTGAGCTGGAGCAGAATCCTTCTGGATAACCCAATGACTTCCAGCAAACAGAGTATCATTTAGAGGCTTGACAGCAGGTTGTAAAATATCTTCCTGATAGTTTTTAGCAGCTGTTTTAACTCCTTTTTCATAAAAATGGAGCTTTGTGGTGCTATCAAAGCAAACTCCCCCACCAAACCATCACTGAGGAAGGGTGATAACCTCTTTTTACTCTTCCAATGACTTCCTGGACTTCTGTAGACCTGTGCGCGTAGACACCATCATTGTGATGAATAAATTTTTCTTCAATTGTAAAAATTTTCTCATCACTAAGCAAAATAATTCAATGAAGACCATTGGTGTAACGGCCTAGGAGCACTTTGCATCTATCCATTCTAAATTTTTTCAGGGAAGTGGTTAGCCTTTGTCCTTTGTCCAATCTTTGGAGATCGGCTGGTCGAGGTCTGTCACATTCAGATAGGGTCTCATTATATCTATTTATAGTGCAGTACACGAACATACGGCTGATACCCGAAGGTTTCAGTGTTGAAAATCTCTGACCTTCATTTTTCAACTTTGTGTAAGGTGATCACAGCTACTCGTTTTCTTTATCACCCCACTCCATGTTTACTGAGCGAAAGAAAAATACAAACTAATTAGGATTAATAACCTGACATGTAAAGAAAATAACCTAATAGAGGTAAGAATTATTTTAATAATACCCAAGGATGTAAACAAAGTTCAACTTTTGTAACAGTATTTATGGTATAACTAGGTATTGCAAAAGGCATTTCAACATCTTCAAAATCTAATGGGTATAGCTAAGAGCGGTTACTGTCCAACATGCCAATGCTTGGAGGATCCAAGACACATTGCCTTCAAGTGCAAAAGATTCGAGAAGCAAAAAAGGATTAGTTTAGGATCACAAACTACCGATGATGGAGCTAATTTTCTTCGGTCAATAAAGATAACATAACACCCGTGATCTGGTAAAGTTTTTGAATGACATAAAAGCAGTTATATGATAAAAGTCCCCTTTTATTCTAATTTAAATGTTATGAAACTACTGTTACATCAGTTTTTAACTATTTGTCTTTCTAGTTCAAGTTCTATATAAGTTACATTCAATGATCATATATCTAGAAATATTCAATACATATACTGTATAATTTCATCTTATAATGACAATTAAAATATTTTATTGGCAAAATCGGACTTTCTTTGACATTAAAGCCAAAAAAAATAAAAGATAAAAAAAATATCTTTAAAACTTAAAGACTCTAAGATAGCCTAGAAGTAATATTGTTATAAAATTTTGTATTCTTGTCTTTATGATCTTTCAGGCTCCTCTTAAACTGAGATTTTCGAAAAATTGGCATTAATTTTTATGACTTTTTTCATCCTTATTATTTCAAATATTTACCACACTTGTAGGTGGTATTTTTTTTCTGAAAAATACATAATCATTGTGAATTTTCCAAAATTGGATGGATTAATATGTTAGTTAATATAAGATTAGAAATGACATTTCTTATGATTCTTTGTGTAAAACGAGCTTATTTGTGGATAGTATCTAATATAATATTTTGACTCAACCTTACCAATACTGCTGTATTCCCTGAAAACAATATTCATATTAACAATTTTACTTGGTGTTTACGAAGCTAGATCTTGGAATAGAATAGATATTAACTTTCAGGTTCCATATTGCCTTGAGGAGTAACAACTTAGGTACTCAAGTCTCAAGGGTTTATTGTATACTGTCTTCATTTTATTATGCAATATCCAAAGCTTGGTAAATTTAAATTTCAAGAATGGACCCGCAGGATGATGGAACATTTCAATATTTTCATGTAAGTTAAAATCAGTATCGAGAAAAGCAGAGCTATGAAAAAAAAAAAAAATGTGAAACTTCAGAAGTCATTATAGCTGAAATGCAAGAAACTGTTTTTTAATTTTAAATTATCAAACCTGCCAAACATATACTTTTCATAATTTTGAAAAAAAAAAAAAAAAATCATTTGAAAAATAACTATTTTGAAGTTTCAGAAAAAAAAAATGGATAAACTTTCAATGCGTTATATACAACATATAAAAATGTATCATGTCTCCTAGATCTCAGTTTGTGTTACTTTATATCTTTTTATTAACTATAAATGTAGTGTTAAAATATAGATATTATCTGCATACCACTAGTTTTCACCAGGTGTCAGCCACACGTGTAACTTTTAACCTCTTAAGTTAAAAAGCAATAGTGGTTCGTAAGAGTTTGATAAAAAAAAAATAGTGGTTAACTTTCAATCGGCGTGGTTAACACAGAATGCATTAGCCTTGATTTTTAAGTTGTCGAATCTCTCAAAATGTCCAGATGTCATGAAAATCGCTGGTATTTGTTTATCTAATCCTTTTTGTCCATCTACTGTTCTGGCCACTACAACTCTCTCCCCTCCCCTTGTATATATACTAGTATACATATATGTGTATATTTGTACGTATGCATATATACACAAACCCTCAAAACATTATTGGACCACTAGTCAATGTGTTCTCATCAGACTTTTATTAGTGGACAATATTCAGCACCATTGCTAAATTGTTTTGGTTCTAGCAGACAACATTGTTTAGAACATTTGATAACTTGAATTTTTCTTCTATAAAAATTAATACCGGCTTATTTATTTTAACTATCCCAATCTTTGTTGGCCCAGTTGTATGCAGTAATAAATATTGTAAATAAATAAATAATTTGTTTGTAAAATAAGTAACTTGTTCTAACTAAGTGATTCAATAGTTAGTTTTAGATTCCTTTGAGAAATACCAGTCAAAAGCAAATTTGGCTGCTGAAAAGAAAAGAACTGAAAGTGTTGAAGCTGAAAAGAAAAGGAAAGAAAAGCTTGCTGCCAAGGCCACTCCTAAAGTAATGGAAATAACTGACGAAGAAGCAAAAGTAATTGAAGATGTAAGTATTTAGTATCATTGTTTAAGTTCATCTTTTCATTCATGTTTTAGATTAGACTAAAGATGTTGGTATTTAGTATTATTGTTTAAGTCCACCTTATCATTCATGTTCTATATTAGACTGAACAGACTAATGAATAGTTTCATTAGATTCATCTTCGGATTCCTTAGACACCCCCTATCTCCAGTCTGTATGCTGAGTTAAATTGTCTTTTTCCAGTTTTCCAATGGTAATATTTCCTCGGTGTACACCTTTTCCAATCCTCTAAAACCCTAAAAGCTCCATAACATTCTTAAATTTTTCTTCCTTTGTTTCTCTGCCCACTCCTTAAAAAATATATGCAATCCCACAAATATGTTTATTCCTTCTAATAAAACTGTTTCCTTTATCATCTCTCATGTGTACTACATTTTTTTAGAATTCTTTATTCACCTCAATATACAAAAACTTATCTTTAACAGCAAAAGTTAATTATATAAAGAAAGGATAACTAATTGATTAAAAAAAAAAGAAAATTAATTTTAAAATAGTCACCTATAACAATTGATGAACAGTGGCAAGGAAAGAATATAGATTTATTCAAAATATACAGGATAATATTTAGCAACATAATGATCTGAGGTATTGAAAATAAATAAATAAATGTTAAAGTAATAGTAACATACATTTAATAATAAAACAAAGTTAGCAGTGATTATATTTTAAACTAATTAACAACATGAATGAGATAAATAAAGCACTAATTGATTTGTTAGTGACATAATCTATACCAAAATTGATTAATTAATTTCTAAATTTCTTTCTGAGAAACCTAATCTTATTTCGTTTGAAATATTTTTACAGTAAGAAAATTATCTTTCTACATTAACACTCGTGATAGGATCAAATATATTTGCACTTGAAATTACTGGCTGTTGATTTTACTATTAACTGGTTTAAAACTGTAGTTTTGCTATTTCAAGGGATTTAAAGTGGATAGGAAGGAGAAATAAAAAGTCAGGAAACATTATTAAAAAAAAGAAAAGAAAACCACATTCCAAAAATTCATTCATTGAAGATTATCTTGTTTTGTTGATTGAAAATGAAGTTATGGTTGTAATCTTGTATGTAGTTTTCAGTGTTGCATTATAATTTTTTATTTCTATTATTTTGTTTATTTATTTCAAATTAACAAAATATGGGAATGAATGAATTTCTTATCAACATATCACATTATTAACGTTTGTGAAAAATTATGAAATGTAAAATCTGATTAACTGCATTAGAGTAAACTGATATTTAACAAAATAATTTTAGTTTTAATTATATTTTTTTCATCCTAATGGTCTTTATAAATCCTCTATATTCTAACTTTGACCTAGGTGATTTTGCATTATATATTGTTGTATTATGTTTGGGATGATTCATTGTTTTATCATTCTTAAAGGTTTGTTTCACTCCTTAAATTGTTATTCGTTGTATTTATATTTTACAAATTAAAAATAAAAAAAGTAAATTATCCATTATTATTGAAAGAGTTATAATTCATATTTTCGAAATTTATTAACAATATCTGATGGATAGAATCGAATAGGTGTAAAATAATCTTTTTTTATTATTACTCATGGAAAATAATTGTAAAAAGTATTTTTAATAAATGCATGGCAAAATTAAAAAAAATAAATATTTTTAACATTTTAGGTTTTCTTAATATGATAAAAACTTCATCTTTTTAGGAAGAAAAAAAGAGAAAAGAAGATGAAGAAATAGCTCTATCAAAACCAATTACAGAAACCGAAGGCGAAGATGAGGAACAAGATAAAGGAAAACTTATGCCCAATGCGGGAAATGGTGCTGACCTTGAGAATTACAGGTGGACACAAACTCTCCAAGAGTTGGAAGTAAGTAATGCTTTCTTTATTATTGTTCAATACTAATTAATTGTACTCACTCTCTATAGTAACGTAAATTGAAACATAAGTTCTGGATGAAATCTCTATGAAGAGACCAGTTGTGGGTTCGATAGTTCACCAATTTTTGTTTTTGGTTGGCAGCCGTTATCATTTATCACTTTTTAAAAATCGATCTTAGCTGACATTTGTTCTGTATTTATCAGTTTTTTTTTTTTAAATTAATCTTAACTTATACTTGTTGTTAGTTCCATAGCTGGATCTTGACTCATGTAGTTATTTACTGATGAAGTGTCTACCATTCCCATCCTAACAATTTTTGAATTGCCAGACTGTGAAATATGGAAATTTAGCTTCCTTGCAACAGACAGCTCTGAAGAGCAAAGACTACTGCCTAAATTTAGTCATTGAGAGACAAATGTGTTCCCCTGAACCAATATTCACAATATGTTGAAAATTAAGAAAACCATATTTGTATGGTCACAGGGAATAATTTGGTTTGTTGAAAACTGGTCCCCATGAGTAATATCTAGCTATTATGACTATCTTCCGAAAATTTGGACTATGTGATGAAGTTGGTAACTCCACTGTTCTTATCTAAGATTCATAGCTGTGAATTACCAATTTCTTCTCTGTGTTGAAAGAGCCTTTTGAGATTAGCACAATATGTATCTCATGAAGACCATTTTTTCACTTACGGTTTATACTTTGATATAAATACGTACTTTGGTAAATTTTAAAATTTACATACATATGTTAAAGTTTTTCTTTTGAAATAATAAAAGCTGAAACTATAACACTGCCATAACAACTAAGTGATAATTACTTTTTTATTATTATTATTTTTTTTTTATTTCAAGTCTAATGAGAGATTTATTGTGAAGAGTGAAATGAAAATGCTCTTTTTAATAGGTATATTTTTCAATAAGTGGTTACAGTTTTTTCTTATCTTGCCAGTTTTCTTAAAAATTTCCTCTTATCTTATCATCTTTGGTGACTTCTTCATCTCATTCCAAAAATTGGTCAACTTAAATCATTTACTGTGATATATATAGCAATGATGCTACCGTAAGTCCAAATCCAAGAATTCTTTTAGCAATATATAACACATTTTTTTTGTTAGATAATATATTATTTTTATTTTAAAACATATTTGAAGCATTTTTAGAATTTAAATTAACTCATCTATTAAATGCAGAATCAAGGATTTTTTATTGACCTTATAAATTCGATGAAATGTAGGGTTCATTTCATGACATGAAATATTTGTCCTTTCTGAAGTTGTCTGTAGAATTAATAATTAATCAATCGTTGAATTATAATTTGCTATAGAAAATTTTAACTGCAGAAAGATATTTTCTACAAAATATGGGGGCATTTCAAATAAATTGAAATTCTATACAGTGTTAAATCAGCATAATATCGGTGTGCGTTGTATTAATTTTCCTAAGCGTTTGGAAATAAATATATTGGATGTTGATTATTTAAACAGTTAATGATTATAATTTTATTGATGAAAGTCACATAGATAAAAAATGTAAACACATAATTGTCAGTCTTCTTATTGTGACTAGATTTTCTAAAGCTCTCTCTCTTTTTATATATAGATATATTGCAGTAATACTTCACTTAATTTACAAATTGTTTTTACATAATTTTACTTTATATCAATCCAGATTATAGTTCAATAAGATCATAACATTCTATAAATTTTATTCGGAAACTATATATTAGCTTTCGAACTGCTATATTTAACTCCTGAGATTAGTGGGTAAATGAAAGACATTCAGATGTAATTGATTTAATACTACAAAGTTTTACATAATTATATCACATTATAAATATAAGAAATATCATTGTTTAATTATACAACCTTAATTGCTAATAAAGATTTAAAAATAAGTTCTTATACAATATGAATTAGGTTACTTTTAAAAACCAGTTGTTTAATAGGTTGTTTTGAATAATCACAGTCATTATAGAAAACACTATCATCTAGTATCTAAAATCCCTCAGTATTTAGTCAACTTCATTTTACTATTTTTATGAGAAAATCCATGTTTTAAATTTAAAATCAAACAAAAATTACATGTTTTTATTTGGATTTTCTTATTGACTTAAATTTTCTTATATTCTTATGACATTACTTTAAGTAATATGTAAGAATAATGTAAATTGTAAAATGAAGTTAAAATAAAACTTAATCTAATCTTCTTTTTAAGATTTTAATTTTTGCATCACTGTACCTGTCATCGAGAATTCAATCTACTCTTTTATTGACTATTTACATATAAATAATAGTAATAATAATTACAATCGAACATACAAGTTTAGCATCGATCATTTTTCAATATTAAGAAAAATTTGATTGCAGTATGACCCATGAAGATTCAAGTTTTGCAGTGTATTGTTTTCAATGGAATAAGTTAAACCTACACACACACACAATTTCAAAATAATTTATCTAAATCTCTGGTATGCATTCATATTAACAAATATAATGTTTTGAGGTTGCCGATTTCGTACTTTACTGCATTCTTCTGTCTCATCATGAATACCTCACTGAACTTGATCTCACTGAAAAAATAAAAAATAATAAAAATCCTGATTTTTCTTGAGCAATTAAATTACTTTTTAATAATGAATATTTAAAGAAATATGTACAATTCTAACGAAAATGATATATAAGTGTAGAATTAAAGTATCGCTTGAGTTAAAATTGTTACCAGTACTTAAAGCTCATAATCAGTACTTGAAATGCAATGGATTAAATTAAATTAATTGAAAAAGGTTTATTCTATTAAATTGTATATACACTTTTGTTTTGGTTATTGTTTATATTGAATAGTTGTAAGCATTTTAATACATGTAGCATTTTAGAGAGAGAAGGGAGATAAAGGAAAATTAAATGAAAAAAAAAGTGCATGAACAAGGAAAAAAAAAGATATATATATATATTTATTATACTCAGACTTATTAATCACTTCTATATATTTATGTATAAGCTTTGTTGATTGTCCTAAACATTAATCAGTATGCTGTGTTTCCAGCCACCTAATATAATTGGGCAGCAAGCTTTTATAGTTTATATGAAAATAAAGCGTTTCTCTCTCTAGTGTTAATATTTTGGATGAAATATTTGAAATGAAAATAATAATTTTGTTCTCTAAAAAAAGTTCTGTCAGAATAATTACAATGTTCTGATTCTAAGTGCATTGCCTGGCTTTTAATTTTCAATTGACAAATATTTAGTAGCAGTTTTTATAGCAATTTTTATTGCTTACATACGTGAGGTAGTTTAATCATGAAATAGATTAAGCAATCATTTTTTTTCTAAAGGAACAAGAGGAGGAGGATTTATGAATAGAGGTAGGTAAAATACTGCTGAAAGAGTTAGCACAAAAAAAGGAAAAAGATTTGAAGGAATTACTTTTATAAGAGGGAATATGCAAATCAATAGGTTGAGATTTTGTGTTAAGAGAGTGAATAGTGGAACTTAGAGTGAGGAGTTCTAGAATGTAGGAATGTTTTTTTGCTCTAAGAACCTGTTAGTGTAAACACCTAGGGGGTATTGCCAAAGTTGGATAAAGCCACTTTTACTTGGTATAACAACATGAAACATGAAAGCTCCGTGAAAATATGATGATGAATCTTAAGAAGAAGTTCATACATATCATCAGGTGCATCTCTAGCCCCGCAGATAGCTTTCCATTCACCAAGCAGTCATAGTCGAAGTTAAGGAAAACAAGAGAGAGTACAAGGAGCTGCCAGGTATTTTGAGAAATGGAGTCGTGGAATCTTAGGAATTGTTTAAGAACAGTTGTGGATAGTTGAAATTTGATACTATAGGTCCTTTTTTTTTCAATGATTTTTTAAAAATTAAAATTAATTGGTGATAATTAAATAAATCATGTTAATACTTACTGTCTATATAATAAACAGCTGCAATTAATCCAATTAAAAACAAAGCAGACATGGATAGTACTATGGCCGACACATGGTGCCTAACACATATTGACTGTCGCTTCTCCCTTGTATAGCCAGGGTAGTTGATCATGGTGAAGTGGGTCGAAGAAGCAAGCGAAGTTGCGTCAGCTTCCTTTGCCGCTGTTGGCTCCAGCCTCAGCGCAGCGAGATTAGCAGCCGTCAGCAGGAGGGAACCTGAAGATCCGCTCTATAAACATAATGGTTCATTAGAAATATTCTTGTTGATACTACACAACTTTTCTTTTGTAATGGAAACAATTCATTGGTTTATAAACTGAATAGTTTTGTAATAAATTAATCTATTTTTAAAGTAGATATTAAAAAAAAAACATAATAGGACTGAAAAAGATTTGTTGAAAAGGAAAGTTAAATCATAAAGTAGTGTGATCTTGAATTTGAAGAGAAGGCCCTGGATGCATGACTTTGTCAAATGCTTGAGTGACATCCATAAAGACCAGTTGATAGTTTTTGTTCTAATCCTCAAGTAATGTAGTCAGCGACTCAATGTAATTGTGTCATTTAATTTTATGCATGGAAGGTGAACTGATATTCAAATATTACCTTGTGGTCAGTCAGTATGTCAACTAGTCTTATGTATACAGTTTTTTCAACTAATTTGGAGCATATCAACAGGGGTAGCATTATTTCATAGGATGAAGGATATGTCTTTCTGGTTTATGGATCATTTTAATGAGTATTACTATCGCACTTATAATTTTTGTGTCCTTAGTATACATTTATAAATCGTCAGAAATACTTTAGCTTTCCTGAGCATTTGTTTTAATTTTAAATTATGTTGTATATAAATGCTGCTTTTACTATTGCTTTAAATTAAACTTGTTTTTAAATGGGATAAATATAAAATATACAGATTACATTTATAATATTCGAATAATATGCATAAACGCTTTACTGACCTGGGTGCTTGTATTACTTGATGGGGGCGGCGATGAAAGCCATGCTCTGATAGGGGCCTGCCCGGTCGTGCAAGAGCAGGTTGTATTTTCCGCTCTACAAAGTGCCGGCCGTGGTATGTACCACCCCGCTGTCTCCTCGTCCCCCTGTAACATTCAAAATTATCAAACATAATTTATTGTTAGTACATTGTAAGAAATTGATGCATATTAATATCCTTTTAAAAATTTGAGGATTTGATGAAGAACATCATATGACAGTGTCCAATGCTCTATTTTAGCTTATACATTTATAAATGGTAAGGTTTGAATATATCTTTTTTATCATATTTTTAGTTACATTATTTTAATTAATTAAATATAAAATAAATAGTAAAGATTGACACCAATAAATTATTTAAAACATGGGTTCCTAATTTATCAAAACTACTAAAATTGTTGTTTTTTGGATACATCAATTTATGAAAACTAGTCTAAAATAAAGTAGTAAACTTATATTCTGGTATGGAGATAATTGATTGTAATTCTAATTTAAGAAAAAATATATCATGGGTGCAATCAGTATATAATAATATATATATTATAATAGTGTTCGCCAACGTTTCGACCTATATTGTAGGTCTTTATCGGGACATTTGATCTGCTGACACTGCCGGAAGAAGTTAGGAGACTGATGAGCTCCACCAAAAATGTGAATTTTTTAACCATAATCCTATCTTCTTCCAGCTGTGCTTGATGAAGACCTACAATGTAGGACGAAACATTGGCAAACACAATAAATTACTATAATAGTATATTTTTACATTTACTTTATGTTTTGTTTCATTTAATTTATGAACTGAATATGACAATCATTAGTATTTTTTATTTTAATATCAAAATCGTTGCTGAAAATTGATACTATATTATTAATATAATTTACAATGCAGCTCCTTTTGCTTTTGATTTCATTCTTTCTCAACATTAATTTTAATGATGATGATCCAAAAGAAATTTCAAATTGTTATAATGCAATTTTATGTCTAAAATAAGTAAATTGTTTCTTCTTTGTTTTTTTTTAATTTCTGTGTGAACTATTTTTGTTCTTAATATTTTTCAAAACTTTTATTGTTCATTAGTTTTCATTTTATCTATTTAAAAAATAAAACATTTTTGGTGGTTTATTTTAGAAGTTAAATTAATTTGTGCTGTGGAATCAGGTCGCCCCACATTGTTGAAATTTCATTTTAAGTTCCAGCTTATAACTCTTCCACTATATTAGCAGGCACAGTGAATGTCTGTTATCAACTACAGAGCTCCGTTGATACATTTTGAAGAAAACGAAGTTAAAATAAATCTATAGGTTAACGTTTAATCATAAAATTATGATATTTTTATAATAAGCGCCACTAATATCCCAACGGTGAACGACAATAGTGAATCAATCTAATTTATGTTATTACAAATATTTCGATATAATAGCGCAATACATAGTAAACAATAATGTTTTCATAAGTAACAGTTTCGATTAAATACTATTATTCCCTATTATTAAAGAAATCTTAAAAGTCGCCTTCTCAATGCATCATGATATTGTCAGATTAGGTACGAGTTGAAAGGTGGTAGTTGAACCAAGTAGGTAGCCAAAGCACTATGGCGGATTATGGCAGTTGACGTAACGTTTGTGAACTAATAAAGTCAACACTGTCTGCTTATTGTTCTGAGCCAGCTTTTAGAAGAGCATGCCACTATTCTACGTGCTTCAATTATTAATATTGTTGCGCATTTTAAGTATATGTATCCGGTCCAAATACAATTTCTTCTTAACATTCAATACGCCTTACGTGTAGAATTTCATTCAATTTTATCGATTCATAATGTTAAGAATCCATAACTGAAAAAATATCTTCCACAAGCGAATGCCAAAACCATGGTAAATCCCTGATCAACATAGGTATAGTATACTTTTAACTTGTGGAAACACGAACAACATCGAAATTCGCTGTGGATTTTACTGTGTTGAGGTTAAGGACACGATGCGAATTTTCAGTTTTCCTTAAAAAACGACTTTCTTTTTAAATTTTCTGATTTTAACTGAACTTCTTTAATTTTTAAAATTTATTTCAAATTAAATTGGGGGTGGGCTTGTCCTCCTTCATCTCGTTTTTAGAAAACTTATTGAGTAACTAACTATCTTATGTCCTACCAAACAAAATTTTCTCATAGAATATCGCTATTGAAAAATTAAGAATATTAAAACGGCGGAACTGGCTGGCTTACCCCCAATTTGCGAAGGCAGGGCTAAAACTCAAAACAAAAGAACTTTCTACCCAATTAATTGATAAGCTTTGTCATCTAGATAATTTACTATAGTTGGAAGATAAATTGTCTCTGTTGATTTATCTTGCATGCAAGTTACAATTACTGTTTTCCTGTTTGTTTATGTATTGTTCGATGGTTAAACAATGCTGTCTTAATTAATAGATACTTAGTGTTATTTGTTGTAGGTATAGAAAGTTATACATGTATTGGTTGCTTCCGATACACTGATCTTTAAAGCAAATAGGTTTTTTAAAAATTATTTTAATGGTGCAAATGAAAAATATATTTAATTTTGTTATTCGACTTAGAGGACAGTGGAAGTCTACTTTATGTTAGTTATAAATACGGCAGCATTATTTATTAATTGCGAAAGGAAGTTTGGTTTTATTTATGGATTCTGAAGATGATCGGCGGTTATGAGATGTAGACAGTTCGTAATGTCGTGATGCCGCGAATTAATCATCAAATTCCAGATTACGAATGGGAATGGATATTCTCTGTTATAGAGGCGTAGCTCAAAAATTAATATTTTCAAGATTGATATTTATCGTATAATTAAGAACGCGGAATCAATAAGAAATCTCACAAACTTCCGGTATTTGTGTTATTTAGTCACCAACGTGTACAAATCGCTGCCATTGCTCTAGTGACCCGTAATATAGTTTTCATTGGTAGTAGTTCCAAATATTTATTATTCCATGAGTTGGGTGTTGGTAAACCGTTTGCTACACCTCTGACCACACACTCCCGCGACTTCGTCGTGTTCGCCAATACATTATTGTCTATTGTTTACCAATCATACTTCAATTGGCCAACATGTGCAGCTCTGCATTCTGTTTTATGGTGGAATTCCTTGGGGATGTTAATCTGTTGGCTTGCGAAATAAACAACAGAGCATTCAATAAAGATTCCATAAGAACAATTTATTTAACCATTAGAACTTTTTCTTTTCCGGAACTTGCAGGGAAGATTAAAACTTTGCAGTTGAAGTTGAAATTTATATTTTAATCTTCAATGCTGCAGAAAATTATTAAATTAGTTTTGCATTGTGTAATTACCGATTTTTTTTTCTCTTTCAGATAAGAGTTCCTCTTAAGACTACTTTTAATGTCAAGTCAAGGGACTTGGTGGTAGACCTTGGGAAGACACATCTGAAAATAGGGCTGAAAGGGCATGATCCAATTGTGGACGGCGAATTAGAGCATGAAATCAAAATTGAAGAATCAACCTGGGTCATTGAGGATGGCAAGACTCTATTTTTAACTGTTGAGAAGGTTAGTTTAATTCTTCATTGATGACTCAAACAATGTAGTTACCTTTACTGTATTTAACAAAATGTAATATTTTTAGGTAAATAAAATGGAATGGTGGTCAAGGCTGTTAGCAACGGATCCTGAAATAGCTACCCGAAAAATTAATCCTGAACCATCAAAGTTATCCGATTTGGATGGTGAAACTAGGGGTCTGGTTGAAAAAATGATGTATGACCAAAGACAACGTGAGCTTGGACTTCCAACCTCTGATGAGCAAAAGAAAAAAGACATGCTCAAAAAGTATGTTCTAATTAATTGTTTTACATATCGTAGGTTTATTGAAAAAGTCACGAAGTACATTTTTGATGAAGCTGAACTTTCAAGAACGTTTTCATGGATTTCTGCTTTATTAATAGATACAAAAAAACAGTAAATTCACTCAAATGATACAAATCCTTTTACACATCAAATATAGTTTCAGCAAACACACAATTTTCTGATTTCACAAAGAGAAAATTCATCAATTTTCTTGGTGATTTAAGATTAAGATCATGAAATGTTACTCGATGACTGCTTACATTAAACTTATAAATATTTTACTTTGATCATATATCATTTGTTAACTAATTTTATTTTTTTAATTTTTATAGATTCATGGAACAGCACCCAGAAATGGATTTCTCAAAGTGTAAATTCTCATAATTTGTACCATTTTATCTCAAAACTCCAATCTAGAGCCTACTTGAACACCCATTCCGTTATTTAATGTGCTCATGATGTTCGATTGGTTATTCAGTTATTAATAAATAAATGTATTACAAAAATGTGTCCATCAGTTATTTAATTAATTTTTTTGTTCATGGAAAACGAAATGCACACATACATTGCTAATTCTTATTTTACCCTTCTTTATTTTTTGTAAGTTGATATTTATTTAATAAAACAAAATAACTAAATTCTCTGGCTTATTTCCATTTTGATTCTTTTCTAATGTAATGAAAGTCTCACCCATATAACGATTCTCACATATCTGTGCCCTGGAGGTAAAGGATACCCAAGTCCATTTTTTTATTAAATAATTTAATAACTAAGAAATAAATTTTAAAAGCTCAAAATTATGAAAACTTATCTCCATAAACAAATATAAAAATGTGACCTAGTGTCCTTTACCACCCGGGTATAGATTTAGTAACTAAGAAACAAGTTTCATTAGCTCAAAGTTATGGAAAATTGGCTACTCGGACAAATACAAAAATCTGACATGGCTTTCTTTATCTCCTATGGAGTGCAGATTTAGTAAATAAGAAATAAATTTAAATTACTCAAAGAAAATTGGGGAGTGGGGTAGCTCAGTGGTAGGGCACTGAGCTTCTAATGCAAAGGTCCCAGGTTCGAACCCCGGCTCATGGCAGACAATTTATTTATCTGTTTCATTGGCCATGGGGCGATGGAGGGTCAGGAGATCCTCCTGGGGCTCACCCATCCTCTATAAAGTGGATAACCTTAATTAAATAATTGATTAAGGAGGAAAACCTGGCAGTTGAGCGTGATCTCGGTCAAATCAGTTCCTTGCACAACCGTTCACCTGGAAACAGTGCTTTCCCTAAATAGTACTGAACCCCAGACCCTTCATGGGTTGTAGTGGTACAGGTTAAAAGAAGAAAATTGGCTCCCCCAATCAAATACGAAAACGGACATGGTGTCCTTTACCTCCGGTGTAAGGGTATATTGTTTATTTTTGATTATATTATCAATAGCCAATAAATTTATTTATGTCTAGTCAATTCCTTTGCATGGTATGGATGGTCTTTAAAATTAAGTTATTCTTTAATTTCTTAAAACTTAAACTAGTATACATATACTGTTATAATATATCTGGATCTCTGCATAAAAAAAAGATATTTAAGTCACTCACTTATTTATAAAACACTATCTAAAAATTGACCATGCCTGAAGCTGAAATTTTAATTAGTACTTTGTTCTCCGCTTGTTGTAAATGAAAATCCACATACTGGCCAAAACATTGTGTCTACATTGTTGTTATGCTAAATGAAGGTTTGTATTCATTAATAATAAAAAACATTAAATAAAGGTACAATATAGAGGTAGAGGCGATTAAAGCAATAACTAAATTTTCAAAAATAACTTAAGTGATAAGTATTCTGGATAACATTTGAAATAAATTAATAAGAAGTTTAACACAAAATAATACTAATCAGAATGGACATGGAAAAGGAGGGGTTTGAACTCATAAACCATTGATATATGATGTATGATAGGCGGAATAGAGTTGTAGAGGGAGGCAGCTCAGATGAGGAAGGACTTATTAAATGAGGCAGTTCTCTTGGCAGCAGGGTGGAAGTCAGAAGTAGGAAAAGGGGTGAAAAGGCATTGAATAGAAGGTTTAAAATGGAGTATGTATGAGGGATGCTGATTTGCTATAATACTGAATTTGCAAAGAAATGTGATTGAGTGGTGTTAAAAACATTTCTTTCAAAATCCAGACAATAAAAATTGTTCTAGTAATTTGAAAACTATATATCTGCTGAAAAACTATAAGTACTCATTTGGAAACTAATCCATTCTCGACATATTTAGACAAATCATCTGAATCCAATCAGTATTAGTAAAGATATAGAGTTAGATCAAATGTTTCCCTTTATTTTAATCTATATAATTTAAAACTGTATTATATGACCTAATTTTAAGTTTTGGATTTCTAATTATTATTGAAGAATTTTTTTTAAACACGTATATGACTGTAATATTGCAAACAGTAAATACTTTCTAAGAAATTCAAAGTTGTATCTCAAGTTATTTTTTGGATTTTAGTTATCACTATTTATACTAACAAAGCAAAATTTTGCTTTATATGACTATAATATCACAAATATGAAATACTTTTTTAAAAAATTCAAAGCTATAACTCAAGTTATCCTTTACATTTTAGTTGTTATTAGCTTTTGACTTATATGAATAAATTAAATTGTCATTGTGGAAAAGAATTAGTTGCTACTAATGCAAACTTTTACTAAAAAGTTTTTTTTGTTGATCTTGATCTGGGAGGTTGGATTCTAGAAAGACTTAATTGTATGTTATTCTATAGCATAAATGAGCCCTCCTTATGATGAAATGTTCTCATATCTTCAACTGACATAAAGTTGACATGAGTAAATCTAAGCTTGCTTGTATCATCATCAAATAAATCATTTTGAACCAATTAATTTTTTTATGTAAATTTATTGTCATAAAATGCTTGGATACGCACAGGGATGCCCATCCCCCCAAAGCCTACAGTGCAAGAATCTACCATCTTTCCCCTCCTTCCAAGATATTTTTTTGTCCACCTTTTCTTAATAACAGAGTAAGCTAAGGTAGAATTAGAAAAATCATAGATCATATACACTTACACATGCTATGGTCTGTCGCAACTTGCACCATAAAATTTCATTCAGGGCACCCCTGGATACCCAGATGATATGACAAGCAGAGGTGCCCCCCACCGAGGTGCCACGACCACCCAAGGTCGATGGCGTATGATTCCCTACCCCTCCTAAGATATTTTATTTCCCTTCTTAAAAACAGTGCAAGCTAAGGTAAAATTTTAAAAAAACCATAGGTGTGATACAATTACACTTTTAGTGGTCTGTACTATACTTTTCTCTTGTCCACTTTTCATTCAGAAAATTCATTACCCTGTCGACATGTGCCTTCCTCAAAAATTCAAAACCCCGTCAAAATATGACCTTCTCAAACATTCTAATGGTGCAACTTGCGTTTAACTAATCAAGAAGACAGTGAACAATTCGCTAAGACTCTGACAAGAGAAGCAGACCAGATTGGCCTATTAGTAAATGAAGACAAAAGTAAATATATGATAATAAGTCAAAAATTCCACCCCAATAACAGGATATGCATAGGAGGAAAATCATTCCCGAGAGCAGAAAAATTCAAACACCTGGGCTCCATAATAACCTCAATGAATGCCCATCAGTAAGAAATACTCTAGCGTAATGATTTGAGTACTGAGCACTCATGTAACTTTTAAATAAAGCTGATTCAAACTAACATATGAAAAGATTCTGAGACCATTCTTGATATACTTGTAGACTTTATAGGGCCATCAATTGATGTAATTCTTTGAACAGTAATGGTTACAAAATATTCATACCATTGAAATCAATTTATATAAGGCAAGTAAAAGGTTTTATTAAAATTTATTAATATTCATCAATATCCCAATAAGTAAAGTAGCCCCAATGGATAAGTTTCCAAGAAAAAAAGATAATCCAAGTAAATTAAAATTATTGGTAGAAAAATCTTGTAAATATTTACCATGAACCTCACTTACTCAGGGGGTAGTACTAATACTGGTGGAACTATTACTAGCGGATCCAAGATTTAATATTTTTTTTGGGAGGGGAGGGCCTCAGCCCAAAAGCTTTTTTATTATATAGACCGATAATTTCTTTGCAATAAAAAGAAACTAACTACCGCTATGAAATAGTATTCTGTGAATATCTACCAAGTAATTCTTGAAATCCTATTAAATGTAATTACAGGATACTTTTAGAGATAAGGTTTTAGTACTTTTTCCATAAGACATGGTTATATTTCACCATTATGAAGGGGGCTTCAACCCGAAAGTCTTCCTCTCCCCGTAGATCCGCCAGTGGGTACTATTATAATGTATTTATATTTCCACTTAACTAAGTTATAAATTTTGAGTAGTTTGTGAATTGATTTTAATTAATAGGAGCCTGACAGTGAGTTTATATGCGTTAGTGAAAGTTGTGAAACGGGATTGTTGCGATATGTTCCATTGGGTATAACGAAGGCTAAGTTTAGCAATGACCAACTCCGCCGAGAGAAAGGGTTCACCCATGGTTCACAGAATTGTGTGGGTTTCAGATCCGGATGCAAGTTCCGGCCGATGACTATTTTTCTCATTTTATCTTCGTCTGTCGTAAGCGCATCCTCTTGGTGATGTTAACTAATCAGAACTGATGAACCTGACAATTCGGTTTCTCAACAAACTAATCAAGTAATCTGATTGAGTCTAATAGATCGGTAACTAACTACATAACTGTGCTGTAGATACGATATTAAAATATATCGCTTGTTTTGATCTTACATTTTTTTTTATATTATAGAGTTGAGGAATCCTAAAGTGCTATCCTAATATAGTTCCGGTTCCTATTTTCTTGTTTCTGGATCTATCCTTCCTGCTATTAAACTGGGCCATAAACTCCGTTCTTCGAGACTAGTTTCACTTGGGAGCCAGTTTCTACTATTATCATCAGCTGTTATATAAAGTGTCGCATAGTCCTGGCTCCAGGATTTGGTGGATTTCGGAGCAAGGGCGACTGATCCCGCCAATCTAAATGTCAAGGTGCTTGTCGACGGGTGCTTAGCAAGTTCTTTCACAGGCCATCTCATTTTGAATTTTTTTTTTAAATGTATATATTTAAATTTTAACCGTGTGAAAAGTTATATTTTAAATTCTAAAACATAGATTATTTATGGATAATTGAAACTCCTTTAGACGTAGGTGAAGGGAGAGAGAGTATGTGCCCCCAACTAAATTCGACAATGGAAATGAAATGTAGAAAAATGGTTTTTGTACCACTTTTTCATACTAAAACGAAAGATTCCGAATATATCTTTAACATTGATATAGTTAAAAACTATATGTTTCATTACAAAAAATGCAATGCTAGTTTCGCCCCTCCCCATAAGTTAAAAACACGTTACACCCACGTTATGGTTCTCTCCTCTATCCAATATTCATTTATCATTGCGAGAGATTATGTTAAGCCTTTCGAACATACTTATCAATAAACGATAGATGTTATTCGAACATAATTGATTGTAAAACTAATTCTTATTTAATTAAAATATTGTTACTAACAAATTATTAAAATTTGATATGAACGAACTATTATTAAAAGCAATTGGCTAAATATACCTAT